AAAAAAAAAAAAAAACTTTAAAAGCAATAGTTGCTGAGATATTGATCAAAAATGCCACCCTTTAGCTATGGCTAAAAATCTCACAATCTATATATATTGTAGATATATATACAGTATATGATCATCCAACTCCACTGAAAAAAATCCACCTGTCACATAGTCCCCCACAACATAAAACAACAACTGTTAGGGATTAAACAAACAACATATAACGTGTTAATTAGTGACCTTCAGAGGTGCTGGTAGGAGGATTTGTTTTGACTGGAGAGAGCCAGGATAGCTATTTCCTCCTGTCTCCAGTCTTTATGCTGAGCTAACTGGCTGTGTCAGTGGTATCAATATTCTCATCTAACTGTTGCCTAGAAAATTAGTGTTTTCCGAAACAACTCCTTTCAGTTTCAGTTACCAAAAACAGCTCAAGTTCATTTGCCATGAATGCTCAACCATTACACAGCATGTAGTCTGCTACAAATCCTGATTACTTACAAATAAATGGGATGTAATGCTGTTTATGCCTGAATAATGTGCTGAATCATACTGATAAAAATGAACCCCCTCCCAAAAAAAATCAATATTTTAATTTCTTCTCAATTAATGTTCCTATACTGTGCGTGTGGTGAAACTGAACAACATTATCTGACACAGTTGCAAAAGTATATCAGTCACTGTACAAGATATATAATCAGCAGTACAAATATCAGTAAGAAAGTCTTGTCAAGTGTCATACAGTGATTCTGAGATTAAACTGTGCATCCAAATCCCTCATTAGTTCTGTAAAGTCTTTCATCTCTTTCTGGTACATTATCCACACTCCAGCACCCTGTCATCTGCAATTTTGCAAATTTTAAATGTGAACCATGTGCAGTATATTATACAGTATATGTGGTGTATATTATACATAACCCATACTCACAAGCCTCCAGGCACAGTGAGTGTGGTAAATTACACTCACATGAATCCTGGTAAGCGGTCCCAGAAAGAGGGAATGTGAGCACAGTCTGCTTTGATGAGCTGTCAGATTAAGGATTACCAAGGAGTGCCATTAAAACTCACAGCAGCACAGTTCCACTTTCTGCTCCCCCATCAGCTGTTTGCGAAACCTGTCAGAGAGATGGAGAGAGTATCAAGAGTGTTAGAGGGTGGGGCAAAATGGGCTGGAAAGAGTTAGGGGGGGAATTGACATGTTGATAAAGTTAGAGCTAGACAATTACGAGGAGGAGGAAGGAAGAGGAACTGACAGTAGAAGAGTAGAAGGTGGTGAGAGGAGACGGATGGCTGATAACTAGCACGTTATCAGACTTGATTTAAGGAGTTGTGTGGGCTATTCAACAGCTTATAATAGCTCACTGCTGGCACATTTCAACACTGCACTCTACAGGCTGGAGCTGAAATTTCCCTGGGGGAAAAAAAAAAAAATGAATGGAAACTATAAACACAAGTGGATCTTGAGCATCAGTCATTTCAGACACTTGAGCCTTTAAAAAAAATGATTTACAATCACATCAAATGAAGCATCTGGTACAATAGCTAAAAAAACTGAAAGTAATAACAAGCAGGTTTATAAAGTCAGTGTTGGCGGTTACCTGTTACTTCTGTTTCTACTCTAATGTTACAATAACCAAAATGCAACACCAGTCCATTTTCAGTGGCAGCTTTTGTGTAACTAAACAGCTTAGACAGCCCTGGGTGAAAATGAAACTGAGTTCAAATCACAACACAAACTCACAAAAAGAATCTCACCCAGCCTGTTTGGCACGGACCACAACAAATCAACAAATTCAGAAAAGAAAACTCAAGTGTGTGTTCAGTTATAACCGAAGAGAGGAGACAGATGAGATTGTATATATTATGGACTTCACTTCACATAGTACTGTAATCTATTGTACACACAAATATTCATAATGTCCCCTAACCCCAACTATCCTTCACTTGCAAACAAACACACACTGGAGACTACTGGATTCAATTTTAAGACCTTGGCTAAAAAGATCGAAGCAGCAGATCAAAACACTGCTGACCAAAGACAAACTGCTGGAATGAGAAAACTGTCCTTGTGCATAAGTTTAACGTAGGAGGCGAAAAACCAATATCTAAGGCCAACTTTGCAACGATTGCATTTCAGATGCATTGCTAAAGAAAGAAAGGAAGACTTTGGTACAACAAATAGACACAGGTCATAACGCACTGAGAATTTTTGTGTTGACATGAGTGCACCTGTTAACCCTAGCTGTATCAATCATCCCCAGTGTGTTGACAGATGTGTAATGGTTCAGTGGCCAAAAGGAGGAAGTGCATTTTACAATGAAGGTTAAACAAAGAATAAGCCTGTGACAGTATGCATTATGTCATCAGTTCCACTTGAGTTACCCTTCAGGTTTCAGCTGGATCACTGCCATATTGGTGAAGAGGATGCTGCCTAGGAGCCGGGATGAGCAGAAAGTCCCATGCAGCTGTGACATGATGTTGTAGCCGACGCTTCCTTGTGGTAAAAATTGCCGGGCAGAAGTGAGAACCAGAGATACAAGTCTTTATTCGCACAGGGGCGGCTTGCCACTCTAATGTGAGAAAACACTCAAACTGCGTGGACAGAAAAATCAACTACTTCACCTCCCCTGCTCCTACAGCACACCAGAACATATTTCTTTCATATTTAATATCTCTGCAGCTAGGAAAGTTAATCAGAGAATTGTTGCAATGCATTACACAAAAGATTTTTAAATTTGTTTGTTTTATTTCCCCCTACGGATTCACAATGTGTGTGCCAGTGGCCTGTATAATCATTCCTGTGTTAATCTACCAAGCCTTACATCAATGTTCTACTGCCCCCTAGTGGAAAAATATCATAACTACAGCTCTGATGAAAGTGTAGCCTAAATTAACCTGCAGTACAATGTTTCCACTGCCATGAGTTCAACAATAATCACAAAGCTTATGAGGAAGTTTTGGATGTTGATCTATAATTAGCTTGGAATTAGCTGTAAATGAGCTTGCTTTCACTGCACTACATATTAGTATCACTCTTTTCATATTACCACCTTTATTACTTTGCCATCAACTGCTCATTATGAAATTAATTAGGATTTCTGACACAGTGGAGCTGCTCAGCCATGTTTGTCATTCTCCAGTCAGGCTGATAGACAGCAGATCTGCTACAGCACTGAACAGCCTGCAGATCTCAGGCCCAGGTGGGTCCATGTGCAGCTGTGCGCAGTTTACATAAATATTGAAAAGCCCACAGTGGCTGCATCTATAATTAACTGACCATTTTACCCGTTTCTAAATAAATAAATAAAAATGTTTCATGTTCAACTGTGCTTTAATCATATCCCCGGAGTGTATTATTTCAGTTTTAGTTTTCTGGGCAAAGAGCTAAGTAGCTACAGTTTTGTTTATATATAATAGACTTGTTTTTTAAAATGTAGACCTAAACCTGTCTGTCTGTTCAGAGCCTCCAGAATTGTATGTAGGCCTATATGTGTCTGTTTACTTGAACTGCGATCATTTCAGATATTTGGAAAAACACGTTACTTTGTGAGGCATGAATTATAGTAAAGAAGCAATGTGTCTATAATCTTTTTGAACTAACTTATACTACTTATAAATAAACATAATAGAAAATTGCACATTTTTACCTACATTATATGCCATTAAACTGATTAAATAGATCCAGTACCTCTACCAAGTTCTGCAAAACACGCAGTGTTCTTTTTACAGCTAGAAATCCTGCGCCTGCTTCAAGAAAGAACAATGTTGTTTTATGTATTGATCCATGGATATATCAGCAAAGTACAAACACAAACTACATTTTCCAGCATGTTGTTTGCAGAAAACTCACAGACGTGCCAGAAACTTTCTGTTAAACAAATTTAACCTTTAACTTTTGTATAAAACAGATGTACCCACTGGGGTTTTTCAGGATTGTTTTGTAAAATCTACTGCAGACTTAAAAATGCACATCCTTTTTATAATATTTAAAATACAAAATCCTATGTTAGTTTGAGATAAATATTCTTCATAATAATGTGCATTTCATTCTTTTAAACATTTTCCAAATTCTATCCTGCTGAAGCAAAAGGTGCGTATTAACTGTAACTCCCTGCTGTGATTACTGATAAACTCCTCATATGGAAGCCTGCATGTTACTCTGAGGATTCAGGATATTAAAATGCTTTTTAGTATAGTCATTTAACTGATATAATGAATAATTGAACAGGCACAGGGTCTATGCAATGTGCAAGAATACATTCTGTACAGACATAACACTGGCTATTGCACCTGCAAATGTACGTTTGTCTGACCACTTCACCCACATATCTGAGATGCTTTAAAGATGCAGTTGAGCTGGACATGTCTTCAAAATACAGCAGGCAAGATGCCATCTGAACACATAATTTATATCCATTAATATGACATGTAAGTAATAGCACCAAACAAAATGACAGCTCCAATAAAAGCTCCAAACTAAATGACAAGAATTTGACATGTCTTCAGAAGAACACTTATAATAATTGCAGGACTTCTGTGTTGAGTTTCTGACAGGTTTTCCATTTGGAAACCAAAGAAGCCACAGAGCAGGGTCATGATGCAAATGTGAGGAATTTAGCCACAAGCCATAAATAATGAGTCATACTTTTGAATATGCTTTCAGATATATCATTGATAGCTTTGTGAGCAGGCACACTTCTTTATTTTAAAATACAATGTTTTGAACAGTTCTCCCTTTACACACCAGAGATTTTATCGATCAGTATTTTGGTAAATTTTACACACTTTCCAAGGCAGTCTTGGTGTTTTAGATGGGAATGAATCTGTTGGTCAGTCAAGTGATGCAGCTACTTCTTTCCCTGTGAGAATAAACAGCATATCATCTCACTTCAACTCAATCCATCCTCTTATTTTATTTTTTTGCAAGAGTTAGATAGATATCTATGGGCTGAAATCAGCCTGTGGTCACAGAGCTATGGTTTAATCAGAGAATCCACACTCCAGACTGAAGCATTGCAGCACAGAACTTTGCATGAGTTTTAGAAGGCTAGTCTGCAACTTTAAATTGGCTGTGGAGAAACCTGGTGGTCAATGTGTCACCAGATAATGGCAGTATTAATAACGGAGAGGAGAAATGTCTCCATTGTTCTCAATCACCCTCTGACTCCTTCAGTACAGAGCACAGAGAGAGAACCATGAGGACATAAAACCACCACTGGGCAAATGTGAGATATTCATCCACATCTACGACTCATTAAAAAAGCCTCATTCTAAATTATATTTTCTAACATAATGACCTTTTACCAATGCAGGTGATACATTAACTCCCTCTGACTGCACTGGCTACTAATTCAGATTCATCATATGCATCAGCCTTTCTGCACTTTTAACAATTTATCTTAATATCTTTATTAAAATGTCACTAAAGTCAATGAAGAAAGTAAGACTTAAACTAATTTCCTGCCCACCTCACTTCCTCAATATCTGTCGGGACTCTGAAGGGTTTAGTTTGATAGATTCGGAATAAGCCAGGATGGACTTGCAAGATTGTATCTAGGGGAATCACTAACACACTGAGTGAGAGACAACAGAAGTCATAAAATAAAGCTCCACACTGGCTTGAAGCCTGCAATGTTTCTCCTCTTCAAATTCTTTCTTCTGCTACAGGAGAGAAGAGGAAATCAGCTCACCGCCCTCTGAGTTTGTTTTTTCCTCTGGCTGTAAGAGTCCCTCAGATCCAGGGATAGACACTGTCCTTGTAGACCTGTCCATCCTGGCTTGTTCTTTCATTATTCACACTCCCTGTAACTCAGCGATCAAAGAACAGATTCTTTGGGGAACCAACAGCCTTGTATCCAACAATATCAACATCGACTGTAAATCACAGTCTTCTATAACTTTGGGAAGTACCTCACAGCAAGTATTTTGTGGTGACGGCAAAAATGTCTATGGTATCATATCATATATCTTCATACTTCATACATCATACTTACTTAGCCTAAAATCTATATGGACATATTGTGAATTTTGTCCTTGACTTACTAATTACTAATTACTACTATTCTGCCAGTTACTAATTACTAATTATCTAACTACAAAATTATGATCACAAATTGACTGTAAATACAGATGTATGTTCATTTCTTTACCTTTTTCTTTCTTTACTCATGAGTCTCATTTCTCAAGTTGTTTTTTAGAAACTTTTACCAATACATGGGTTGATGTTTTTTATGTTTATGTTAACCCAAGATATGGATAAAAAGATCAATACTATTCTCATGTCTGTGGGTTACATACTGTATGAAGCTAGAGCCAGAAGGCGATTTATTAGCTTAGTTTAGCATAAAGAATGGAAGCAGGGAGAAGCAGCTATCTTGGCTCTAACACCTTTAAAGGTTGGTCATTAACTCGTTATATCCTGTTTAATTTGTACCAAAACCAACATTTAAAAAGAAGGTTTCACAGTGAGGTTACGTGCTGGAACTATTTATCACAGAGTATTGACTTTCTCCACATAGCAGAACCCTTTCATAAAACCACAACTTGTCCTTTTTACATATCGATTTCTTTACAGATGAAACAAACAAGATACAACGTGCTAATTAGTGAGCTTCTGGTTGTGGTAGGTGGATTTTGTTACCTTCGGAGAGAGCAGGGCTGTTTCCTCTTGCTTCCAATCCTAATGCTGAGTTAAGATAATCCTGGCTGTAGCTTCATATTTAGCATACAGATGTGAAAGTGGCATCAGTTTTTTTTCCAAAATGTCAATCTATTTAAGAAAAAGTAAAGCTAATGGTGGAACAACCATCATGCACAATATATACAATATATAGCAGGAGTCAGATTGGAAGAACATACTTAACAGTTTTGTCTAAACACTGTGTGCATTCAACAAATGCTGTAGTATTTGTACACTACGCTCCACAGTTTGTTGCCCCCGATTATATTTGAATTTATTAGACTTTCTTGTTTGTTGTATCAGTGCCAAAGCTTTTTGGCATCGTGTTCCTGTTTGAAGTCCTTTGGGAGGACACGGTAACCTTTGTGCTTTATCAAATTATTATTTTTCCATTAACTTCAGTCAAAACAATGCTGAAAACTGTATAATAAGAAGCTTTTTAATCAAGCACGTCAGCGGGATGATTTGTGTTTGCTCGTTCTTGTAGAAGCAGAATTGATTGAAAAGCTGCAAGATGGCATTTAGCTTCACTGGGAATCATTTGAATTACTAGGAAAAAGGTCATGGCACAAAAATAGCCTTTATTGATAGGTAAAATCAATTATATTAAGGCAACAGCAATACTAAGACTGACAGGCAGACTGAATGAGAGAATGAACGCATAATTTGTTTTTTCTTGCTGGCTGATGTGAACTTCTTTGTAAAATAAATGCACAAAAATAAGTAACGAAACAGGAAATGAATATGAAGGATTTCAGAAATGATTGGCACTGTCTTTGGCTGGATCACTGGACTTCGCATCCTCTGATTTGGAGCTCTGTTGAAACAAAGAAACATACATAATGTAAACAGAAGGTTTCCTCTTCGTTTTCGGGTGACATGATATATGTCTATGATGTTCATGGTGTAAAAATGTTCTAATAATACATGTCAATACATTTTTATCTTTCACAATTTAACCTTGCTTGGCATAATTCAGATAAGGCGAATGTTGGTGATGAATCTTCAGTATTACCGAAGTTAAAGGACGAGTTTGTTCATTTCCTTTCTTGCCAAGATCAATACCACACTGTCATGTCTATGATAAATATGAAGCCAATCAGCAGCCAGTAATCTTAGTTTAACAGACTGGAAAAACAGCTAACCTGGCTCTCTCCAAAGGTGAAATATCAGTTTGGATTAAACAATATATATATATGAAGTAGTGAGCTTTAGAAAGGCTGGTAGGTGTATGTTTTATCTTTGGACAGAGCCAGACTAGCTGGTTACCCCTGTTTCCAGTCTTTATGCTAAGCCTCTTCTGGCTCTAGCTTCATATCTAGCATACAGACATTACATTACAATAGTTCTCTTCTCAATCTCAGCAAGGGTATAAGTGTATTACTAAAAAATTAACCAATCAGTCGCCAAACTACAACAGATTCTTGATTACCTGATGTAGCTCTATTAAACCTGTTGGTCTCACCTTGGACTTGAAGATGAGGTTAATGACGCCCCTTGAGCGTCTGTCTGCTGTCCGGTCAGAGGTCCCACAGACAGACATGCTCTTGCTGTCCCTCCTGATTCTGGGGGAGTCTACCTCCTCTGTGCCCCCCACCACTGCCAAGGACAGACCTACAGACATAAACAACTTCAGTGTTTGTGTCTCACAGCTCACAATAAAACCTATTCCTCTCCCTGCTGATTTTGTGGGACTAATTGTGCTCTTGCAACTGTTCTGCTGATGAACTGTGTGCTCTGGCAACACCAATGTTACTGTGTGCATGTTCAGTGAGGCTGTACAGCTTGTAGTCAGCAGTGCTAATAAGAGGAAATGTATTAACATCACAGTCAAGGCTGGCTCAGCTGGCCTGGTCCAACATGGCAGGTTGCCAGAGAAACATCAGTGAATTGTGGCCTGATGCACTAGTCTGAAGTGCAGTGTTAACTGAAACGATTAAATATGAACTGGGTGAAACTTAAGTCCAGTTTTGAGAAAATTACAACTGACATGACCGATTCACTAATTTGCCACCCTACATCCAGAGTTTGTGTTAGGTCAGGCTATTACAGCAACACTCCCCAGAAAGCCTGCCATAACCTTTGTCTGTTTTTTTGTTTTGTTTTTTACAGTCAGAAAAAAAAACAGTACTTTTTGTCAGGTCATGACTTTCTATTTTGACACTGTGGGCCATTGGTTTTAAGGTGTAACTCAATTACAGTACACTATGCAGCCCCACATGGATTTGTGTGTGTCACCTGTGATGGCAGGCAGAGATCTAGAGTTGGCATTGGTCAATGACACATTTCCTTCATTTGGCTCAGCCAAGTTGGTGTCACTGCGGAACTCTTGTTTCTTGGACAGCTAGAGGGAGACAGAGATCACACAAAACTCAGCAATGACACACTTCCACAGATAATCAGCTCCCTTACTTAAACATCCATTAACATGCTGTCTTGTCACGTCTTCCCTCCCTTCTTTCTACCTTTCCTCATATTTTCTCCACTCTTATCCAATGATCTACCTCCCAATTAAAGCTCATTCTTACCCGTTTGCAGTCCAGTGTATTCGTCCTTTCTCTTTCCTCTGTGATGAAGATCATGCTGCTCCTCTTCTTCTTCTTCTTACTCTTCCTCAGTTTGACCTCTGCATCACCCACTGTCACCACTCCACCTTCCTCCACTGTATTCACACTCACGCTGCCGCTTGAGCGCTGAAGGGTCCAGGCGGTCGGAGACTCAGGGGGGACATCCCTGGGACGAGGCAGGAACGGTGTTAGTAATACATTTAAGGGGTTAAATGCGGATTTTCATATCCAGGTGTTAAATTTATTAGAATATAGTGTATGTATGTATCCTGTAGATTTTGAGGTTCTCTTAACATTCCAAGGTCACTCGATAAATGTATCTACCAACAGATGTATGTATATGCTACCTGTCTGCATAAAGCTTGGTTGGAGTCCCACATTCAGATCCCTGCAGTGAGGAGATCGAGATGATGGATTGACGAATTGAGCGCAGCATAGAGCGAGGACGAGTAGACTTCCTTTCATCCATGTCCGGCTGGAAGTAGAGAGTTGAAAAAAAAAAAAAATCATATCCAGATAAAAGGACACTACTAGGACAGTGACAGTGAAACAAAGCAGAACATATTCAAAGAAAGCAAGAAAAGCAAAATCAAGTGAAGTCTTAAAAACTTCACATCATTACTACTACTAACCATTAGTTTAATCTCTCCTGAAGGGCAAAGCTAATTTACAAGTTAATGACCATATTTAGCCCCAGTCAGACCATCCAAACCCTGTTCTGGTTGTAGAGAAATCTAAAGGTACAAATCCCATATCAACGCTCTGCTCAGAGCCTTTTGTGAGTACTTTGATCTTTAAAATTCGCCTGGGTCAGCTCATTTGCAGCTTAATTAGCGCAGCTCTACCACAGACACTCTGTGTCCAGCCTTGCAGAAAAGAACATGTTTTGGACTGTAGAGAAACACCATGTTTCAGTGAAAAGTATCCAATTCTCATACTTCTTTATTTTCCATCTCTCATCATTTTTTCCCAATTCTTACCAGCTCTCTCACTCCGTACTCCTTCTCTACTTTCTTCCTCAGCTGTTTGAAACACTCCTCCATGCGCTCGTGGAAAGGACGCAGGTCATCTGTCACTCTCTTCCCATGGAGAGAGATCCCTCCACCTAGTAATGGGATCTATAAATACAGATGTTATGGTGTCAAAAGAACGTTCACATAAAAGTGACACATTCAAGAATGTGTGTTGGCATGTTCAGTACCTGCCATGCGATGAGGTCTTTGAGGCGCAGCAGTTTATCTTTGTCTTCTGGGTGCTGCTGATTGTACTCCTCGGTAAAGAATGCCTGATACAGATGATAATGAGATTATTTAAGGAACCACAGCTATACATTTCACCTGCTCAGGCAGTTTGTAAATTAAATAACTGACTTTTACACCCACATGTGCACTTTCAAAGCAAACTTATCTTATCCTATGTGGGATATTATAATGCTGAATGGTATTTCAGGGTGAGCACTAATACTATTTTGAGTTATGAATCCACCAAATTATAATAGGTTCATTGCATTTAATATCATTTGGACAGATTCAGACCAGATTCAGAGCCTCAGGTGGTGATACTGATTTCTGTGACTAAATGAATTCAAGTCAATTCATCATGAGATGAGTTTTGCAGTAAAGTCGTCTCTCAAGCTCAGATAACTTCTTTGTAGAGAAAAACAAAAAACAATACTGAGATCATCATGATGCCTTTTAAAATTCTACACAGAGAGTCACAATAAATCAGTGCTTGTTTAGATAAAAATCAAGGCCACTGAGAGAAATATAAGCCAAAATCAATGTAGACTTGTAATAAGTGTAATAAACATAAAAAGTTTTGAACTCTGCTGTACCTATACTTTTTTTTAAAGAAAAACAATATGCAATATATAGCAATAAAGACCCATAACCAAGGGTGTAATTTCTAATAATCAAACTCAGTTTTCTTACTGGGACCTTTATTCAATAGTACAATGGTCATTAACTGACCTATAAAAGTGTATTTGTGAGGGGCTATAAATTGGGGCTCATTCTGGGGCTCATTCTTTATAGTTTACCTTTTCATACTTGGCAAAGCCACCCATGACAGCTGGGTCCACAATGCCGTTGAGCAGCATTGAGAGGGGGTTGATGGGAAGGGTCCAGTCTGCCTGGTATTGGTTAATCATGGTCAGAATCTTCTCATTGGTGGACTCCATGGTCTCTATGGCGTTCTCCAATGGAGACAAGGTGGTCTGAGTTTGAGTGGTACAAAGAGCAGAGGGAAGAAGAAGAAAGAAATGAAAAAAAATAGGGAAGAAGGGTTGGATGAAGTAAAGGAGGAGGGTTTTTAGGGTGGGAGGTAGAAAAATTGTACAAAAAACAAAGAAAAGGAATTTAATCAGTGGTGGTGAGATGGAGAAAATGTTACACAGGAGGCAACGTGGAGTGAAAACACAGACTCACATGTTTCATGTCAGTAGCCTCAAACCAGCGCAGGATCCCTGGTAGCTTATACACAGTGGTGAAGGTTGTGCGTTCAATCCACATAGACTGAAACACACAGATGGAGAGGAGGAAAACAGAAAGCAGTTAGATGAGCCTCGGCCACTTGTGAATAGTCATAACATAATACCATATTTGGTATTAAAGTCTTAACTCTTTCTAGACATTTACTGCTGTTGAAGAAATAATTCAAAGACCTGTTTAGTAGTTTGCTGATTTAATGGTATACTGGCTTACAGAAACCAAGAGTGGGTCTGAGAAAGTAAGCCAACCAAGAAAAATTACAGTATTTCACAGTTATACAGTGGACCAAAAAGTAGTGATCAGATACAGTACACAAATACAGTCTAAACTCTTGGTAGCAGCTATTGTACATGTACTCCAACAGAACCAGTAAACTCATTCTCTGACCTTCAACTAAAATAATGTCTTGTATTAAGAGTTAATTTAATCTACAATTCAATTCCAATTTCTTCAATTAACATTCTACACAGAAGATACAAGTCATCTCTAATTGTGTAAGGGGAGTACATCAGATCAGATAAGAATTAAATATATCTTTAAGTATTAGGAGAACAAATCATCTCTGGAAGAGAAAATCACTTCTTCCCACCTGTGCTGCATTTCTTTTTTGTGTTTTCTCTCTCTTATCTATCTTAAAGGCCATTTTGTCTACTTTTCTTTCTCACTGCACAATCTGATATCTAATCTTACATTACAACAATAATACCTCAATCTGATGTTGAATCTCAAGTCCTCCTATACTGAATAAAATCCTATTATTTTATAGAGCAGGAACTCATCTGATAACAATGCAAATACACACTAGCTTCTGAAAGACTTTCATGGTCCCTGTGGTCATAAATCATTCCACTGAAAAAAAAAGTTACTTACAGCAAACTCATTGTTGGGGTCCACAGGTCCTTTCCTCACAGGTCTGGAATAGTGAAAACGCTGCACGTAGTTGGACTTGTAGAAGCTGCAAATGGCATAAGAAGAGGGTGACAAAGGTTAATGTCAAACAAAGGAATTACAATCTTGCAAAAAGAGGGAAATTACGTTATCAGAATTGCCTGTTCGTTTTCAGTGCCTATCATTTCACAGACATTCACATTTTGCTTTATGAAAATATGATGACTGACTTGATAATCTGGTCCGGAACAGGTTTGTTCTTCAGGCGAAGAGGAATCTCGAGGACTGGCTGCACTGTGAAACACTGAATATCTGGTTCAGATTACTCAGGAATTAAACCTCACAACATGATGGAGAGTATCTCTACATCTCTGTGTAAGAAGGTACAAACTTATGGCCCCAGCAGCTGGGTTGTAATATACAGAGGTAGCTACAACAAAAGTAAACAAGAATTAAATTTAGGTCCGAACCAAAACTGTCTGGATCTGATGTCTGGGCAAGTTTTATTGTGTTTCTGGGTAAAAGGTCCCCTGATATCTCCTTCTGGAAAAACCTGGATCTAAGTTGATCTTATCATTTACTTTGAGATTTGTTTGACTTCTTCAGCAGCCCAAATAATAATCCCAAAGATACATTGCTTGTGCTTTGCTACACTTTACTTGTGTAGACTACAGACTGTGTATATTGTTAATATTTAAATGTTTTAATATATTGTACATTTGTGTGTTTTGCTGCCATAAGGATACACTGAAGTGGAGAGTTCCTGATATCGTCTCCTGGAATGGTGGTGGTGTTGAGGCGCACAGCGCTGGGGAACTGGCTCATGAGCTGGTTCTGAAAGTCCTCTCTGCGTTCATACTCCTTGCCACGGTGGATAAACACCTTGTTCTGAATACAGAGGAAATTAATTGGTGTTAATAATGATAATGAAAATGCTGTACGGAAACTGAAAGCTGCTTCTGTGTGTTTGATTCCGACCCCAGGGACAGTGAGCAAACTTGCCCCAGATGATCTAAGAGCTCTGAATGATTCGTAAAAAAAGGAGCATATTAGAGATGTATTTTGGCCCAAAACCATTCAGGGCTTTGACAGACAATAACAATATTTTCACATCAATTCTCTGACACATGGGAAGCCAGTGCAATGCTCTGGGGTGAAGTATTACACTGTCACAGCATTCTGAATAAGCTGCAGCTGTCTGATTGATTTTTTTTTACAAGTCTTGTTGATACATGATTCCTTTAAGTCTTGCGTGGTAGTAGACCGATTTTTTAATTCTGTTGATGTGGGTTTTGAAATTTACACAGAGACCATTGTCATATAGATGTTGCAGTCTCAGTGCTGTGGTCGAAATCCAAGGCACAAAAATGGGCTTGTGTCTGGCCTCCATTCACTGCCCTGCTCTGCTCCCCCAAGAACTGAGTCACTGACTTTGTCATACTCCTTACCACAGCAGATTAACACATCTAATGAATACAGGAGCTATAAACAGTGGAATATTTTATTTTTGTGGTTTGCTGAAATCCACAGATCCACATTGTTCCCATAAGGTTCTTTATGTCCCATTCTGTTAACTGTCCTGCTGGTGTGTGTAGAAACTTGTACACTGCTGCAATTTTAAACAGCATAGCTTCAGTGCATTTTTTTTTACCCCTTTGCACTACGGAGGGAGTCTTTGTGTTACTTACTCATAACGTGGATCTGTGTACTTCTACTCAATGAAGAATTCGAATATTTTATGTAATGATATTTATTCTCAGAAACAGTAACAAACACAAACCCTGAGGAATGGAGGGTAGCCCTGTCCATAGTAGCCCACTGCAAAGTAGTCCGGCTTTGGCCTCAGGATCTTCATAATGTTCTCATAGAACTTGGCTTGTTTTTCCTGCAGAGAGAGAGACAAAGATAGAAAGAGAGTAAGAGTTCAGGGGAGAGTTTCAGATGTACACTGGGTGCAGCCATAGCAGTTTTACCAGCTCACGCCAATGACAAAGCTACCCTCAGCAGAATGCAGGGCTTTTGAGGGTGATAGATGTAGAAAAAATAAAGTGCACGGCATCCAAGGGCGATGTCTGTCATTTATATAACCACATAAATTCAGCATTAGCTGAGAGAGCCACTGCTGTAGTCATATAAAGAGAGAGATTTTTCCATTGTTGGGAAAAAAGTGTAATTCTCTGTGGGGAGGGGAAGAAGAAGAGTTGAGCGAAGGGGAGATAGAGGAGAAGGTGGTGCTAAAGAACAAGTTAGGATTCGAGTATGGAGGGAATCACTTCTGCTGTGGTGCTAAAGCAAGAGATGAAAGAAAAGTGATTGAAAGGACAAAGTAAGAAGGAGTTAGGAGGGGTTTGAAGTTGCTGATGATTGGCAACGCACAATCACACTTTTGGGGTCATATGGTAATTGTGGAAGCTCAAACCACAGTTCTTGAAAAAAAAATCAATTTAAAAGGAGGATTTGAAGTGTCAACTAAGTATTCATTTTTAAATGTGGATGAGTGGTTGTGCTGAATCGTTGGTAATGTTTGAGAGTGCAGATGACTAATTTAGTGTGGAAACTGTTTATTGAGAACAATTTGCTCTGAGGATAAGAAAACGTATTACTCTGAGCTATTCAGAGCTCACAAACTGGCTGCTGGACTATTTGCCTGGATTTGGTTTTACTGTATTACGGCCAAAGACCAAACCAAACTATTACTTGCATATTAAATTTAACAAGAGTATGGAAACAACAGCTCCAGTTCACTGTAAGTGAGCTATAGTTACTGCTTCTATCAAAAACTTGAATAAATTGCCTGAATTCTCTTCCTTTACTTCAAACACCCCCTAGCACTCAAGAACATCTATAAGATCTACAAAGAGAATTCAAGGGAGAAGGCTGAGAGAGGAAAACACAGAAAAGATTATCATGATTATTGTGCAGAAGAAAGTTTGAGATAGTCATGTATTACCAGTCTCTTGCTGAGTAATTCGTATTCAAAGATCTCGTTTTCGTACTGATCAGCTAGTTCCTTACACAGAGTGATGGCCTCTTCCCACATCTAAACACACACACACACACACACACACACACACAAGGAAAGAAAGAAGTGTCCTTTATTACACCATCTGCTAAAACATTGGCAGCAGCTGTCGTGGTGGGAATTCATCTCGTGAAAATTTCCAGGTCTCTGGAGAGTGGAGGAAAATGTCTCTATCACTGCTTCAAAGAACACAAAGAACTTGTTAAAAATACAAAATGAATGTGACATCAACATACTGTTAAAAACTATGACTGCATGATTGCAACACTGCCGCATCCCTAAAAGATACTGAACGTGTGATACTGGAGTGGAACATTTTCCAAAATAAAAGTCTGTGCATTCAGTTTTGATTTTGTGGGCTTTTGCTTATCCCAAAGTAAAAAAATATATATTCATAATGTGCCTTGTTTATCTGAAAGGAATTCAGAAACCTATGCTAATTGCCAAGGCAATACTTTCTCCAGCGTTATTATAATTGATTTTGGAGCATTGATCAAAACATTTCAAATAATGTATTATTCTATTAAGGCATCATTAGGAAAGGAGAAGCATGTCGTAGTCTAAAACAATGCTGACCTTGCCCTTGTCGAAGTAGTCAATGATGGTGTCGTAGAGCGTTTCCTTGAGCTGCCGTTGGGTTTGGGAGCCATGGGACTCAAACTGGGGGCTACACATCTCATCTGACCACTGGAATGGAGAAAGGATGGAAGACACAGAGACAAAAAGTAAGATACAGTATGTATATTTTTTTATTGCTGAAACTAAAGGAAAAAAAGTTGCAGTCAGACCAACACTGTTTTTTACTGTCCCATTTATCATGATGTTGAAACAAGAGAGAAGAACATAAAGCTTAGAGTTTCTTTGTTGTAATAAACCAATATTGAGCAGAGTGTGCACAAAAGCACAATGCTCATTTATTATATAAATGACAAAACAGCTAATCTTCTGCTAAATAAATTACACAGACATTAATTTAGAAACCAAACAAAAAAGTACATAGTGATCTTCAAAACTGACTAATATTATTGGAACAGTTCTATCTGATAAGGGAAAGTAGAGAAGAAGAGGATTGGAGCTGTGCATTACAGCCCGCTCTTTCAATAATGTGAAACAGGCTGACAGGACTGACACTGGCGATGAATAGAGATTATAAAAAACATTATAGAGTTCAACTTCTTTGATGTAATGATACTAGACAGAAAGAGGAGGAGAGCAAGATGCCCCTCTTTCCTCTGTCACTCTCTGGGAGCCTCTAAGTGTCTCATAAAAGAGATGAAAAGACAAAAGAGGTCAAACACACTCAGACACATGCATGGGCACACAAACCTGCACACACTCACGCTTGCTGCATCAATCACCATAGTGATGAAGCCACAGTGGCCCATGCCATGCCATAAACTCACCTCGGAGCTTCATAATTTGAAGGCCAGAGACATAGCAACCATTTATCAGCTAATAAAAAACTGTCTCACTCGTGGCAGACAGACAAATTAATTAGGCAGAGCAAGACACAGGGTCCAGCAACAACAAAATATCTCTTTATAAGCATGCATGTGTGTCCTACCTTGAGCAGGCGAGAGTGGAGCAGCAGCGTGTATGCTGCCTCGGTGTAGTTTTCACCCTCCAGGTGAAGGTCCCTCAACTTGTAAAGGTACCTGAGCACACACGTGTACAAACACACAAACAGTTACAGAGGTCAAGTGAAATTTAATATGCAACTTATAAATCACTCCACTAGATGCCACTGTTGGGCAGCTTGGAGAAGGCAAATGAATTAATCACGTCTGTCACCGTGTCATTCATTCTGTCTCTCTCACATACGTACACATATGCTCACACACACCTCTACATCCCCAGTGCACAACACAGAAAGGTCATTCAAGAGCGCACACATGCATACACACAAAAGCACAATTCAATGCATGTCTTTTTAATAGTGTGACAGATGTTTTGTAGCCCAGTAATGTTTTATAAGCCTGACACAGAGGAAAATGGGAACATCAGGCTGCAATGAGCCAATTCGCTGCTTCTGTCTCTAGTTTTGATCCTGTTCTGTGTCTTTCTCCTTCTGTCTGAAAAAAAGATTTTGCCACTTGGCCAGAGGCTAGACTTTCTTTCTAAGGTATTGATGACAAAGTGCTGAACTGGCTTCCAGATTTTTCTACACGAACAACCCCCTGTATGCTTGGGCAGTACGATTGCACTCTAAAGTCAATCGTTCATTCTGTCTAGCTAAACGTTGAAGGGCCTTGCTTTCTTTAAAAAAAAATAAAAATAATAATAATCTCATCTCCAACTATGTCATTCCTCTCACTTTTAACCAACTCGATCATATTCCCATCATTTTCTGACTGGAGAGTCTGCCTGCTCTGTTGGTCATGACAATCCAGTTGCTGTTGACAGAGTGAATCAACAAACATTCAATCCTTCTCTTGCTTTCCAGAGTAAATCTAAACGTTCATCTACTTGTTTGTTTGACTGTTGTCTCTCCACCCTTCTGTGACTCTTCCTGTTTTCTTTCTCACTTTCAAAGACTACACCCTTCCCTCACTTCCTTCCTCCCTCTCTGAGTGAAACAGTCTTTTCACCACTGATGTGGCTTCAAAAGCAAAATTAAGCAAGAGCTTTTCATTCTTCTATACCACGGTGTTAGGAAAAGTATCGTATAATTTATTGTAAAAAGGAAGTTTGTAGAATTCATCTTTTTAATCTTTTTAAATAAGATGAAGGTTACATTACTACTAAAAGGTAACATTGGCCAAGGTGTGCTTAAACTGTCTCTATCACCCATACAGAGAGTTATATTCATAAGATTTTGGTTATGTAGTGTGTGACAAAATTACTACATTCCAAAAACGCACACACAAAAAAATGCTGTGTCATTTTTTTGAGCGCTTCATTGTAACGCATGAAAGGAATGGAGGTGGTACTCACAGCTGTAATACATTAAAATAATTTGTGTTTTCTAGTCAAACAGCTCCATAAAGAGAAGCAAAAAAATTAAATATGTGTTTGGAAAACCATTTTGCTTTTTGTGATGTTTGGCAGCAGTATCCTAAAGATGTAATTTGACTGACGTTTGATGAAGTTGTTGGTAAATAATGTTGAATTCTTGTAAACTAAAAACACACTGTAAAGATTTATATATAGATCATATGGTATATACTTATATATTATGGAATTGGGGGCAGAACGACACACTTTTAGACTTTGCTGTTTTACAAATAAAATAATCTGGAAAAAACTTACTTAAAGGAGTGAGTTCACTGAAGTGAGTTTTTGTATGGACGATTTATGTTCAACTTTATTTTCCATATTAAACTTTATTGTATATTGTGTATGTGTTATATATTCTAGATTTGTATTATATATTTATTATTTTATTTTCTATTTTATTTTATTATATTTGCTGTTTAAGTACATTTCCCCTGTGCTGCTGTGCCTAACTTGAATTTACCCTACAGGGATCAATAAAGGAACATCTTATCTTAGCTTAGCTTATTTTTTAACTCGGAACATTGCCGAATGGAGTTTCATAATGTACTATACAGTAAATATTGCTGGATTCTGTTGTGGATTGCAGCATTAAGGTAATTCTGAATGAGTGGGCCATGAAATTAATTATCTTGACTGAAAAAACAGACTTATTTATTAATAAAGGTTCAGTGTATTTAACATAACTACAGGTAACATTAAAGATGAGGAAATATTCAGGAGTCATGTGAGCATTTTAGTAATTCATCTGTAGAGTTAATGTTCCATAATTCCCACACTGGGCCATAACAATTAGTTGTTTTATTATCCATGCATGGCCTGTAGTATAGCTAGATCTTTGTGTACGATAACATTCTGGCTTATTATATAACACATACACAGAGCCTAAATGTGTATTTGCATTAAACTATGTTTGTTTGCTAACATTAACCAGTGAGCCGGCCAAATATTGCCATATTCTCCACTGGATAGATGCAGGCAGCTGATCAACCACAGAGCTGAGCTCACATTCACACATACAGATAACTAATTATGTCTATAAACCATTGCCAGAAATGCACTGTGGGACCTGACTGGATCTGTATTCTCTCTCTCTCTCTCTCTCTTTCTCTCTCTTTCCTCTCTTTCCTCTCTCTCTCACTCTCTCTCTCTCCCCTGCCATCATCCTGTCTTCCTCCATCTCTCCTCCACCTCTCCCTCCCTCGTGCCCATCATGTCTCTCTTTCTCTCTGCTCTCCCTCCAGTCAGACCAAGAGCTGATCCTGTGGATTTTGACATTAATTCAGTGGGACTCATATAATCCCTTGTCAGATTATGGAGCCACACACACACACACAGACACACACACACCAAACACACACA